TTGGCAAAATTTTTCTTTCAACTTGAAGCAATTGTAATTGCAATAATATTTGTCCTTGCATTAGATGGCGTTTATTTCATGGCAGGTGAAGAGGATTATGAATCTGCAGTGGAATTATGTAGTAATCATTTAGGATCCATTGCTTCTTACGAGCAGTTATACTACGCGTTTCAACCAAGTCTAAAGAACTGCACAGAGGGTTGGCTTATCAGTGGCGAGATTGCATTCACGGAAATAACAGACACCTGCACATTAAAACAACCAGAACAGCGTAGCAATGTGTTTCCTTGTAAACGGTATGAGAGTGGGGTTTATTGTCACATGGAATACAGTCCTTCGGCACTCGATTATTTACCTACAGCACAACGGATTATTCGCCTGACAGATAGTAACCAGAAAAAGTTGAGTGCTGAAGATTCGGAAATATGTTGCAGTACTAAATTCAGTGGTCATCTAGCAACACCTCTTGACGTTTATAATAACACGTTGTCTTTAGGAGTTAATCTTTGCGAAGCAGGGTGGCTTTCTAGATGGTTGGCAGGTAATCCATGTAAGGGACATGCGCCACTTGACTTTTGGCTTTATCCGACTGGAAATAAAATACACTTCAAGAAAGCAACGAACGAATATTCTGCATTTTGTTTGGTTCCTCTTGCAAACCGAACCTTAAGTAACCCTGACCCATTTCCCTCCCATCGTGTCATGAATGGCGAGGGAGAAAGTAGTTACTCTTTAAATTACTATGATGCTTATGATTTCTGCATGAGTCGTGGTGGTAGAATGGCAACGAGAGCGGAAGTAGAGTACGCCTGGCAGTCAGGATATGACCGTTGTCAGGCTGGCTGGGTCACAAGTGGGGAAGTTATTTACCCTACAGTAGAACCCAGAACCGGATGCGGATATTTTCCATCTATCAATAGCTGGGGTTTTAAGAACATGAGTACTTACTCTTCATCCGTCTATTGCTACATGTTGTAGGTAAAGTGGTCATGTATTCATTACGGTCATTTCAGCCATTTTGTGGTGGAATGATGTGAACATGCAGCTACTATATACGCCTCTTTACGACGCCTTTGTGGTCACAAACCAACGCAAATCCGCTGAGCATAGTGACGATGCGAGTTATCAGTTATTCTCCTACCTTTATCTTTACTATGTTGGTTACACCAAAATCGTTTTTGCTGTCATTTCTTGTATTCCATTTAGTTACAACTAATTTCATTTTACCTACCACCTCAAATGGATGATGCTTGCATTGCTCTTTCAAGTAGAAGCAAGCATAAAATTTAATTTTATTTATTTAGACAAATCTAAATTGCACCTCGTTGAGATTATTATTTTTTTGTATCTTGCGCCGCATATATAATAATAATAATAATAATAATAATAATAATAATAATAATAATAACAATAATAATAATAAATAATAAATGTAAGTGTTCAAATAAAGGACATGATAGTGTATTGTGTAGTATAGCTCTCAGCAATGTTGTCCTTAATAAATAAATAAATAAATTGTGTTATAAGATGCCTCTGACGGGATTCTAACCTGCCACTCTCGTTGTCAATGCGTGCGTCATAACCATAGACCACAGAGGCATCATGGTTGAACAGATTTATATAACCGCCAGATACACTCCATTACACAATAGGTACGGCTGGAAACCAATATTTGCTTATAATATAAATCAAGATAGCCGTTAATAAGTCTACTGTTAAATTATATAATATAGGTATATCATCAATGAAAGGTAAATACAGGATTCAAATTTATATTAAAATTAGAATCTCAATTTATGGGTGATAATTGAAATTTAAAACAGAATCAAGTACACGACCGCTAAATGCGAAATAATAATTGTTCGTAGATCGAAGACAAATACTCTTTACTTTTCCGACCGTAGCTCGAAATATACCAAAACCGGTGCAGGGGGATAAGACCTTGAAAAAATTGAGAATTAGAATTATTATTATTTTAAAGTATACTAATATGTAGAAAATAAATATAATTTTTTTCCCTCAGACGATTTGTGGTTTTTCTCTCCGACGAATAACAACTCTCCCCGATGGGGGACTACCTCCGCCCCTCCCCTTGCATAAATTCATACATTATACAAGCCTGGGAAATATTATTATTATTATTATTATTATTATTGTTATTGTTATTGTTATTGTTATTGTTATTGTTATTGTTATTGTTATTGTTATTGTTATTGTTATTGTTGTTATTATTATTATTATTATTATTATTATTATTATTATTATTAACTTCAGCCATGCCTTCTCCAACTTGGTTTCTGAAATTTCCATTTTATTTGCAATATTTTAATTGATACAAAAATGTTAACGATCTATATTAGTATATTGTAAACTATTTTAAATGACTTGGAGTTCTAACACGTGTATTCTATTCCATGTGTATATATTTTTATATTATATATTTATTATTATGTCGGTTAAATGTTTTCTTGCTTTTTATAGTATTGTTGTCGATTTTCACTGTTTTTGTATCAACTTTAAGAAACAAATCTCGTATATATGCATTATGTATGAACATAACAATAATAAATGAATTTGAATTTTGAGTCTTGAATCTAACAAATAATCCTTAACAATAATTAATTTAAGTTTTAAATAATTTCAAGAGACCAACACACTTTGTATTTTAGCAATGTTTACATTTGTAACAATCTATAAGAACTATAAAATAAGAACAATAAAAAAATAGAAAAAAAAAACGTGCATTACAACTGAGGTGCTACAGTTATATTAATGAATGTAATCTTAATTTTAAATTATTTCAGTAATAACCAAATGCTGTACTATTTTTTCAGTTTGTAGTAATACACATTGATTTTGTTATAATCAGTGGTCCAGCCTATCCCACCGACCTTTTAAATCCCTCAATTTTCAAATTTCAAAAATGAAATTTGGCTTTTTGCCGAAAACATTTCCATCGGAGACATCGGATACCGCATGTGGCAAATTCTGGCGCAATGATGTTTTTAATATTTGACTAAATTGTAATTTAGTAGTCTATGATGATGGTAGATATAAGGCTCATTGTCAATCGGTATGTTGTTTACATTGTTTACCGGTGTTGTTACCATGATTTGCATTGTATTTGAATTGTCTGTAAAGTTGGCTGTTTCCACTTCCAGTAAATCTATGAATAAAAATACATGACCCTTGACTGCCGTGTCTGATATAATTATTGCAGGATTCTTTATTACAACTATATTTAA